AGCTGCTGATCAGTTTCAGCAGCGGCTGAATCCAGGACACCTGGGGCAGAGCAGCTGAGGTGCTGCCAGGTTGGTCCCATAGTGCCGCTCCTCCGCACTGCAGGACCAACTCAGCAGCACCCCAGCTGCTCTGTCCCAGGCATCCCTAAGAGCAACTGGGGTGCTGCCCGATTGGTCTCGCAGTGCCGAAGGGCAGTGCTACCGGACCAACCTGGCAGCATACCAGCTGCTCTGCCCCAGATGTCCCAGATTCAGCCACTGCTGAAACTGACCAACAGTTTCCAGAGCCGGACTATCGGAAGGGGGAGCTATGAGGGGTCTGGAATGGCATCCTCCCACCCCACCCCAGATCCCTCATAGCCCCCCCTTCCGATAGTCCAGCATATCAGATAATCCGGCACCCCTTAGGTCCTAAAGGTGCTGGATTATCAGAAGTTTACTGTAGTATGGACTACACGATTAGTCAGATAACTGCAACTGGACATCCCTAGTACCAACTCTAGGGTAGTGCAGTAATATTTGTTGTCAGAAGAAGATCATGGTACAATGAAGTTTCTAGTTGAAGGGTTCTCAAGAGTTTGCAAATACTGTGACATGAAATAAATTGAGATGAATAAGCTGACCCAAGTCATTTTTTTGTGTCAAAGACTAACAGAAATTTAAAAACAAAAGATTTAAAAGCAAGAATCTTTGTCAATACTAAGGATGTTAAGCAAATGCTTATCAGCTAGTCAAGTCAACTAGTCGCTTCCCCCCCTCCCTCACTGCCTCTATCAGAATGACAAATGGTCTGGTAATACTTTATAGACTAACAAAACATGTAGATGGCATCATGAGCTTTCGAAGCTTCTATCAGATAGAGGCAGCAAGGGAGGAGGGGGAGAGAAGCGGACCCTGGGCTCCTTCTGGCGCTGCCCCTTGAGGCAGCGTTTCAAAGGGGGTAGCGCCACATGGAGCCCGGGATCAGCTATGTGCCGCTGCCCCTCTGAAATGCTACCACAGTGTTTCAAAGTGGCAATGCTGTATGGAGCCCGGGGTCAGCAGGGGAATCCCTAGCTGACTACGGGTTCTGCGAAAATGCCACACAGAGCCCAGGGTGAGCTGGGGACTCCCCCACTGACCTTAGGCTCCATGCGGGTGCTTCCACTTTGAAATGCCGCGTGGAGTCCCCACTGGGAACTCTTGTACATTTCAAAGCTGGCACTTCGCATGCAGGCCCAAGGCCAGCTGGAAGTCCCACTGATTCA